CGGCATCAGTGGGGTTGCACCACTAACCGTGACCGTTGACAGCGTGTTCCAGAGCGCGTGTTTTCCTGCAGAAATTGGGTCCGTTCCAAGAACATAGTGAGAACTGAGCGTGCGTCTGTTGACAGTCGTTTGTCCCCCTTGGAGCGAGGTGGTGCCACGCCGCCCCTCCTCCTGTCAGCCCAGCCAGTTTTCCCTGCTGCACCCTGCGGTCCATGGGCTTAGGGATGTGCTTACAACTTGAGGTCACAGACACAGGCCCACGGTCACACGGCCCTTCTCATACTTGGGCTGGATCTGTGTGTGTGGGAGGGGGCGCCCCGCAGCTTGTGTGAAAATGAAGGAAGCCCGTGGCAGAACCTTGTGAGTCTGTTAGGAGCAACACGACAGGCCCCCGGAGGGTGGCCTTGTTCATCGTGAGTGAGTAGGTCGCGCGTGTTAGTGCACACAGCACTCCATACAGCAGCCGGGCGTATTGCTGATGCTCACCTGTCTAAATGGGCGGTGAGATGCAGAAAGCCAGGTGTTAGCCACAGAGGCTCAGGGGGCCTCTTCTGTAGGAATTTGAACAAATCCAGGTTTTTGTCTTGAGTTTGAGTAGTATTTCATAAATGTTCTCCGTTGGTAGTTTGGATTGTTTGCCTTAGGTTTGTCTGTATAGAGAAAGCAGCCATTGTTCCTGGTATCAAACACTGGTGTCTTTATTATACCCTCATTTTGAGGGTGAGGGTGATGTGATATATTTTCCTACAGTAATTGCTGATGCCAACAATTTTCTTTTTTTCTTTTTTTTTGACAGGCAGAGTGGACAGTGAGAGAGAGAGACAGAGAGAAAGGTCTCGTTTGCCGTTGGTTCACCCTCCAATGGCCGCTGCGGCCGGCGCACCGTGCTGATCCGATGGCAGGAGCCAGGTGCTTTTCCTGGTCTCCCATGGGGTGCAGGGCCCAAGCACCTGGGCCATCTTCCACTGCACTCCCTGGCCACAGCAGAGAGCTGGCCTGGAAGAGGGGCAACCGGGACAGAATCCGGCGCCCCCGACCGGGACTAGAACCCGGTGTGCCGGCGCCACTAGGCGGAGGATTAGCCTAGTGAGCCGCGGTGCCGGCCGATTTTCTTTTTTTCTTTTGAACATTTCCTGTAATGTGTGTGCTGGTACTGGAAACTTTACCACTATTTAAGACCCATACCTGGTTTAGCCAGGGTCTTAAGTAATATTGACTGCATCTTATATTTTTTTTGGAAGATAGACTTAGTGAGATAGAGAGAGAGACAGAAAGGTCTTCCTTTTTCCGTTGGTTCACCCCCCAAATTGCTGCTGTGGCCGGAGCTACGCCGATCCAAAGCCAGGAGCCAGGTGCTTCCTTCCGGTCTCCCATGCGGGTACAGGGGCCCAAGCACTTGGGCCATCCTCCACAGCTGTCCCAGGCCACAGCAGAGAGCTGGACTGGAAGATGAGCAACCGAGACTAGAACCCGGTGCCCTTATGGGATGCTGGTGCTGCAGGCGGAGGATTAACCAAGTGAGCCACAGCACTGGCCCCATGACTTTATCTTTTACATTGTATAAGCAAACAGGTTGGTCTGTGCACAAAACTGGAAGCTAGCTAAGAGCCTAAAATTATGTTTCCTAAAAAAGAGGTCTGTTCTAACATAGAAAATATTTTACAGTTGATTTTTATAAAACCAGGTACATTCGTTTGTTAATTTTATTTGCTAACTCATTCAGATCAGAGAAAACCAACATTTGTCTTTTTGGAAAATAAAATTATTTATTTACTTGAAATATGGGGTGAGAGGAGTGACAGGGCTGGGTCACACCAAAGCCAGGTGCCAGAAACCCCAGACAAGTCTCTGATGTAGGTAACAAGATCCCAAATACTTTTATCATCTTCCACTGCCTCCCAAGAGCATTAGCAGGAATCCGGATCAGAAGAGGAGGCGGGGCGTGGTCCCAGGCACTGGTGATGGGATGCATGCCTCCCAAGCTGTGGCATAACCCACTGCGCCACAACACTTATCCCAACATTTGCCTTTTAATTAAAAAAAATATATATTATTATTTGGAAATCAGAATTACACAGAGAGGGATCTTCCATCCACCGGTTCACTCCCCAGATATCAACAGCCAGGGCTGTTGGAGTAGCCGGGTCTCAAATGGCACCCATATGGGATGCTGGTACTGCGGTGGTGACCTAACCCGCTGAGCAACGGCACCAGCCCTCAGCGTTTGCCATCTTAAGGCCGTCCGAGGCTTCGGCGCTCCAGTCCTCACCTCAGAATCTTACTTTTCTAGTTCCTCCCTCTCCTTGGCCAGCGAGGGAAGGGAACTGCTCTTCACTGCAGTCAGACGAGGTGGCTCTGCTTTGAGGACAGTTTCCAGCCCACGCTCATCAGTGCTCCAAGAGCAGCCTGTAGTTGTCCGTGCCGCTTTCCCTGTAGTCACCGCTCTCGTCCATAAATCCTCGGTTCTCTGCTAGTTTGCAGTACCCTTTATTTAAAATTTATACCTAGCATGTAGTAAGAACTGTGTTTATAGAATGAATTGGATGGGGCTGGCACTGTGGCCCAGCAGGTTAAAGCCCTGGCCTGAAGCACTGGCATTCCATATGGACACCGGTTCAAGTCCCGGCTGCTTTACTTCCAATCCAGCTCTCTGTGATGGCCTGGGAAAGCAGCAGAAGATGGCCCAAGTCCTTGGGTCCCTGCACTCACATGGGAGACCAGGAAGAAGCTCCTGATTTCAGATTGGCACAGCTCCATCCATTGCGGCCATCTGGGGAGTGAGCCAGTGGATGGAAGACCTCTCTCTCTGTCTCTGCCTCTCCCTGTAACTCTGTCTTTCAAATAAGTCTTTTTAAAAAAAATTGAAGTGGATGATAAACAGTTCTGCATGTGCCATCAGGTTTCCAGTAGTCTAGAATGAGATCAGCCACTGTGTTTTGATTGAACAGTTTGCTAGTGCTTGCTTAGTCTCTTTGTAATTTGCAAGGAGTTTTGGTTTTATAAACGAGTTTCTTAAAGATTTCCATGGATAAAACTATAGTTGTGAGTTACGTTTCCTGGGTCACTTACTAAAAGCAGCATTGTTCTTACTTCTGGAAGTTTGTTTCTGTCAGTTTTTCAAAAATGGGGGAGTTGTCCACCCAGAAATAGGAACTCCACTATTCCCGTTCGTTTTTGAAGCCACTACCGACGGAGTGGTTCTGTCAGGAGCTGTGCGATGCTCTGGCCTTCCCACCGCTGAACGGGCAGCTTGTTAGGCCGCCCTGGAGCTGCCTTCCGAGTCGTGGCGTGTGAGCGGTGTTCTAGTTCAAGGCGCTGGTGAAGGAATTCACGGTGTATTTTTGGAAGAAGTAACAGTGATTGGCTCTCTAGTCACCAAGCGTTTCTGTTTCCAGGTATCGGATGATCACAGAAGGCGGAGTCAGTATTAATCACAGACAAGTAACAAATCCCGAGAGTGTTTTAGTTGTTGGACAACACATTCTCAAGAATGGACTTTCTTTACTTAAAATAGGAAAACGGAATTTCTACGTAATAAAATGGCTTCAGTTATAATGAAAGCTCCTCGTGGTTGTTCAAACTTACCCATCCTTCATTCTCAAAGCATAAAAAATGTTGGCTCCAAAACTTATACCTTTGCCTGTGCGAGTCAAAAAACAGAGTGGACTGTACACCAGGTCTCAGTGTAAGTAACTTAACTCTTTTTATGGGCTGGTTAATAAATCAGGTCTTGTTTAACGATGGGCTCTTCTCTTCCTGACCCACAACATTAAGGACTGCCAGGGACGCCCCTGATTTCCAGGGCTGATCGCTCGTCAATACCTGATGGAGGAGCAGTGCCTCCCCCATCCTGCCCCGGCTCTCCTGGGAATGACGGGCGGCCCTCGGTCGCTCCCCGTCAGCTAGCTAGGAGCTCGCCAGGGCTGATAGCTGTTCTAAAACCGGCAGTGTTCCGGGGAGTCCAGGATGGGAAACGTCAGTTTCTGACACTTGTGGTGTTCAGCAAGCAAGTACAGCTCTGCTTAGAAAGAAAAGCTGGACAAGGCCACAGGTGGCATTAGGAAGTCCTGGACGGGACTTCTCACAAAGTTTCTAACTTCATTTTCCAATCCTCGCCCGTGTTTCAGTGTAATTCTGTTTACCACAGCCTTGTTTGGTCAGTGCCTTCCTGAAGGCAGCAAGATTTTAAAACTTAGAAACTTGAAGATTTTTTTTTTAAGTTTTACCTTCTGCTCCCAAGCAACTTGAGATAAACTGAAAAATCAAGTGACTAAAAATACAAGAGGCACATACTACATCAAATAAGTAATGCTGTTATTAAAATGGCCAGCTAGAGGAAGTTTTCAGGTCACCATTAAAGGACCTGGAGTTCAGACTGAGTTCGGCTTCAAGCCCATCAGGCAGGTTTTTCTCCAGAACCATCTGCAAAATCAGAGTAGTAGCACCTCCATTTTCCTAGAGGACTGAAAACCTACAGGCAGCACAGCATGGCATTAGCGTTCACATTCTGCTTGCTCCTTGCATTGCTTGGAGCAAGTCACCACCTTCATATGCAGGAATGCAAGTGTAGTAACTCTTGGTATAGTATTAGCAGTACAGATGGACTGCAAGTACTTTTTTTTTTTTTTAAATTTGAAAGGCAGAAATAGGGAAGGGGAGAGCAAGCTATTCTGTGGTTTGCTTCCCAAATGGCCACAGTGGCAGGGGCTGGGCCAGGCTGAAGCCAGCAGCTTCTTTGTGGTCTCCAAACTGGGTGCAGGGGCCCAAGTAGTTGGGTCCTCTGCTGTTTTCTCAGGTGCATTAGCAGGGCACTGGATTGGAGGGGGAACAGCTGGGACTTGAGCTGGCACCCAGATGGGATGCTGGCATCGCGGGCAGAGGCTGAACCACCTACGCCACAGAGCTGGGCCCTCCAAGTAAATATAAATGTTACAAAGCTGCAGTTCAAATTTTCTCCCAAGGGAAGAGTTAGGCAGAAACCATTTAGTGGCAAACTGTAATGTCATTTCATACCAACAATTTTATTTACACAGCAAGAACATACAGGAAAATCCAGAGATTATCTCTACATTCCAGAACTTCACGCAGGAAGGTTTACTCTTTCCTTAAGTTTCTTGCCTGTTTTACTTTGTACAAAGTGTGTAGTACTAGCAAGTAATTACCACAGCATGTCTTTGAAGCTGACATTTTCAATCTGTGATCTGTTTGATATGCTGGAGAAAGGTGCGTTACAAGTGTTTTCCCTTAGAAATTTGAAAGGCTAGAATGGAAGTCATCTGATCAGTTAGCTAAAGTAAATCGTAGATGGCTGTAACTTCAGAACTGATGGGGGATGATGACAGATTCAGTGTTCCAACAAACACGTTTTACCATGTGTTCTCAGGATGGTACTGTTAACAGATCAAAGTAGTACCATATCCTGTATCAGACAGACTGGGGTTCTTTTGTTCAGTCTGTAGTATATAATTTAACGTGTTAACTGTTGGCACAACATGGAACTAGGTATCTTAGCGATTCGATCCTATCTTAAAATGTGTAATGTGGTTCATCCCAAGAATTGCCTGGGGACTTTTCTTCAAATGTTCACGTTCTAAACCTCAGTCGTCCCCCCACCCCAGCCTTTAGGAGAGCACGTGTTTCCGCGTGTTTTTATGCTGCAAGGCAAGGAAGTCAGAACACAGTGGTCCTTGGCGTCAGGATCTCATGCAGTGCGAACTAAGGTGGAAGCAGGTCGGTCACTGGGTCAGGTACCGAGCTTTGTTGCTAATGCAGGGCGCTGGGATTCTTACTCAGATTCCAGGTTTAAGTAAAAATAAAACACTTTGATTTGTAACGCACTAGGGCCGTGCAGACCCAGGAATAGAAGGGCTCCGTGACTAGCTGCACGCCACTTCCTCCCTGACGTGTCGAGGGCTGCAGAGAAGCTCGGCTGGACTGCAGAGGGGAGAGCGGGTGGAATGCAGTCATCTAGGTGAGGGGCTGGACTGCCAGGCCGCCGAGAGTGCATGCAGTGCGGTGCTGTGCAGGGTGGTCTCGGTGCCCTTCCTCGGCAGAGACGGCGGCACAGCTTTAGTCTACGCACACAGGCTACAAGGTCATCTCACCACAGGCAAACTGCACAGCTAGACACGACAGTTCCTTCTAAGTTCAAAGAAAAACTGCAGTAAGACGACTTGATGTGTTTGTATGTACTGGAAAACTTTAGAAACAGCCATTTATTATGTGGATTAAATGTGTGATTTGTTCTGCAGTACACAGTATACGCTTCAGTTTATAGCCAGTCTTTACAATGAGCAGACTCGTACCACTGTAATCACAGGAGTTCATAAATAAAATTCTACTCCAGCAGGCAGTAACCAGCGAGTTTCCTATCAGCAGTCTCTATTAGATAGTCCTCTTCACCAAAGGTGAGTCTCTCGGATTTCAGCAATAATCTGACTGGCTCCTTGTAATGCCTGCATTAAAAAAAAAAAAAAGGCTTGATATGCTTATTAAATTATGAAAATAACTGAAACATATGAGGCAATTTCTCTAATTTATATGTGGTAGATTTATACTAACCAGTATCATATCTGGGATTTTTTATTCCAATGCCAATTTCAAAAGCTATAAAGTTTATACATACACATGCAAGGTTCCGAATGGATCTTAAACTGTCTGTATATTCAGTATCAAAACCTCAAGCAATGCACACTGATACCTTCAGCATGTCAGCTGCTTCTTTCCTGCGCTGTGCCATGTCCTCGGATTCAGTCAGCAGATCATCCAATAAGGAGGATTTGTACAGCTGTCCTACTAACTCACTCTGAAGAGTGTCTTTCACATGATTCACCAAAAAATGCATTACTGCCTTTGGCACGCTGCAAAACAAAACCAAATTATGAAGTTTTATTCCAAATTCTACATTTAAAAATTAAATAATATTATTGTACTTTGAGTATTTCCTTAAAGGCATAATTTTGTCCTTTGGATTTTTGCTTAATTAAAATCAAATAATACAAAAAGCCACAATTAGTGAGAACTTACCTTCTTTAATCTCATCCATTATTATCCTTTATCAACCCTCTACTGTGAACATTCACAGTAGCCAAAAATTGGAAATACAATAAAAATTGATGAATGGATAAACCAAATACGGTATACCCATATAATGTAATAATACTCAGCCCTGAGAAGGGATGAAATCCTGGATGCAGGCCTAGTAAGTGAAAGAAGCCATGACACAGATGGCTAGGATGAGCCTTACACCCGCGGGGGAAACGTCCAGAACAGGCCAAGCCATGGAGGAAAGGCAGAGAGGGCAGGGTTTCTTTATGGGGTGACGCACGGTTCTGTGGAAAAACTAAAACCATTGCAAAAGCTGCTTCAGAATGAGGCCACTGTACAACTACATTTGGATTCTTCCTAATATTACACAAAATGACGTAACAGGCAACATAAAGGAAAAGGAACATTAGATGGGGACACATGAAATGATGAAAAAGCATGCCCTTCTGGTGAACGCATTTGCTTTGATAATCAAAAAGGTAAGGTAGTATTACCTAGCCAGAATCATTCATCAGGATTAAAATTTAGAGAAAATACTTTCCAACCTGGCTAAGATTGTGGTTACCAGGAAGAACCAAAGAGTATCTGATTTCTTAACAGCTTTTTCTAGCTGTCACATGACCACCAGGTCCAGATCATTCTGTGCTGAGTCTCCTGGAACAGCTGCAGAATTGAGTGGATTTAGGGTGAACAGTATCCCCCAAATACTTTTAAACACATGTGTTCTCAAAACTGGCCACGGACTCTCCCGGCAGCATTAACTGTGCTAACTTACACGAATCAGTACTCACCTGTCTTGAATATTCTTCCTGACAATAAGAAAATAGGATTTGATGAGTCGTTCAATAACCTCACAGTCTCGCTGTTCGCGGGCAGAGAGTTTTCGTGCAACAGGAACCGGCTGGAAGTGGCGAAAGGGGAAGAAAATCTTACTTGTGTGCCATTTTGAAATGGCAGCAGCTAGCATTCCACATTAAATGAGCGAAGCCTGATCCTGTTGGCTTACCACGTCCAGCAGATTGACAGCGTGGCCTTTCTGTGGACTGGCTGGCATAATGGGAATTGGTTTTGATTTTTCTTCAGCTAATAATTCTTCAGCTTTTGAGGTTTTCAGCATTCCCCGCCAGTTGCCTGTTGTTGGTTCTTGAGCACTGTCTCCAACCCCACCACCGCCAGTTGCAACCTGAGGAAAACACGTTCCAAAACCTGTACCAACTACATTGCATCTCACACGAACTACTAAACACAGGGAGCTGCCTGTGACAGAAGTCAAGAACACAAATCCTGACCCACTCAGTTTCGACTACTCAGCAGGATGATGGCGTCAGAAAGAACAGGAGGTGAGGCGTGTGACTGAGCTGTCTAAATGAGATTGCTGTACCCTGTCTGCCACACTTCAGCCAGTTTAGGTCCTCTTCTTCCACCCCTCAGGACTACATTATGGAAGAAGTACAATGTGCCCTTAAAACCAAAATACTCATTACAAGCACACACAAGGAAAAACAGAACTACCATTCAGTTCCATTTCTTCAAAGTAATCTGAAACACCACTGAACTACAGTCTCTCCACAAGTCCTATCCAACTTAAGAGTTGATCAGATTTCTCAATTTAGATGGTAGGAAAAATATAAAGTAGAAGTAGAAACCACATTCCCTGCTCTTGGGCTGACAGTCAGTGTCAGCCGCCTCAGCCGGCACAAGCCAAGTTCCTCGTGCCTGCCCCGAGAGGGTCCGGTGCCGCCACTACTGAGTGTCCACACCCACAATCCACACGCGCCACAATAATGGGGAAACATAATTTTTTTGAAAGAGATGCTTAAGACCTTACAATCTCAAAATGGATTATTGAAGTTTAAAAGGAATAGTATGGTAAAAACGGCAGGTTCTGGTAGCCATGTAAATTGAAGTACCAGCCAAAATCTGTCTCTAATGTTAATGTGAGTGACATCTAAATAAGGCAGATTATTATTATACACAAATATTAGTCATTAAATTGTAAGTGCCTGCCAACTAAACATGAAGAACAATGAGATATTAAGGAAAATGAGCACATCTGATGTGAGCCATGAATGAAATAAAACTTGTGTGATGATTTGGATGATGGCTCGATAACTGAGCACAGTGCACTGAGGAAGGTGAGACTTCTGTATAGGGCTTTGAGATTCAAATCTTATAAATCTAGACCCAAGGTAGGAGGAGCTAAATGGCAGAGAAACTAGAAATAGGGATGGGTCTGAAAAATTTGAACATTATTCAATTTTCCCCTAAAAAGGTTACTAGCAGTTCCAAATTCTCCCAGTCCCCGTTTGTTTTGAACTCGCTGTATCTTCAGGGTGACAAGTGCAAGCTAACCAGAAGTCTAAGAAAAAAGCGTTAGAGGGTTATCCATTAGTACTGGGCAGTTCTCAGACCCTTTAAAGAAGAAATGTCCAAAAGTACAATTTCCATCCCTGAAATCTTAATTCTCTACCAAAATACTACATTCGAAACAATCCTCCAAGGTAAGAGAAGCAGTCGTACATGGGTTAGGTAAAAGGAACATTAAGAACATAACAGACAAGAGAGATGCCACTGTACAAACAGGCTCTCCAGTGGTTTGTAAGAGACTCACATTTTTAGTTTCTCTTCTGCTGTCCTGAATTAACTGTTAAAAGATACGTTAAAACATGCAATTTAACAAGCAAAATTTAAATACCAGTGGCTTGAAATTCAAAAGGGGCAGGATAATTTCCTCTTTAAATTACTTCTTTTTCGGTGTGCGTTTTCTACATTGCAAGCAAAAGCATGTCGGCAATATTTTATACAGTGTGCATCGTTACATAGTTTGGTAATGTCCAGTAGACTGAAACATCTGACCTTAGTACAAAATCCCACATTACAATTCTTCTATTCAGAGTACTCTTCCCAGGTTACGTTGCACCACATAACTAGGCATGCAGGCTCAGAGTCCCAGTGAGAACAGACCTTGCCATCAGCCTCAGCACAAGCAGCAGGGGAGGGCTCCTGGGAGGCAGGTGCCAAAGCACTTGGAACTTTAGAAGACTAAAGGCAAGAAATGCAGGAAAAAAATCAAGGATGCCAAAATGCATTCAGAAACTTTCTAGAAATGTGAATTTTTTCCCCTCTAACAAAAATAACATGAAAAACGAGTTATCATGGGAGATAAAATTGTTCGTTCTGCCTTCTTACTATACCATGATTGCCCGTGTTAAGTTTCTCAGGTTTGCTGTTTCTAAGACCTTGTCTGACAAGAATTCAAGGTAACCGATTTTCACACGCACGTTTTAACATATACAACTGTTAGGAGTAATGCTCACAATCAAAACCTGTTACGTGTACATTATTCCTCCCTCTTCAAAAAAATCCCTTATTGAAGTCACTGGTTGTTTGAACTAATTTTAAAGTTGATAAAGCCACCATTTTTTTTTTTAAAAAGGTGACCTAATGCTTATAAACTACCTGTAAGCATTTATTTCAGTGAATTCAAAACCATATTCCCTTCAAATTACTCAAAGCCCATTTTAAACTTGTATACCTTTACTTGATTACATAGCTCCCATGGAGTTTTACAAGAAGTTATTCATCAGGACTGCAAAGTATCTTAGTCGTATCAGTCCATCTTTGAGTATTGGGAATAGGCTTTAAAATCTTGCCATTACCTTGTCTCGTGATACAGCTGAAGGTAATTCTCTGGCTAGTCTGTTTCTCCTTTGTTCCTATAAAACATAACAAGCAAAACAAGAACGATCATCACAGTACTTTGACATACACCTGCTGAAAAAGTCATGTTAATTGAAGCTCATTTTAATTAAATGTTCATTTTAATTGGGATTCCTTAGAGATATCCTCCCATGTTGGCATTCATGCCATAATTACCATATTTGAAAACAGGTAAGAAGGGTTGGGTTAAGGCACAACTTATGACACTGGTATCCCATGTAAGAGTGCCAATTTGAGTCCCAACTGCTCCACTTGCAATCCAGCTCCCTACTGATGCACCTGGGAAAGCGGCAGGAGATGGCCCAACTTCTTGGGCCCTTGCCACCCATGTGGGAGACCCTGATGGTGTTCCAGGCTCCTCGCATCAGCCTGGCCAAGTCCTGGTACTCACACTAGGACACAGGTGTTCCAAGCAGGGGCTTAGCCAGTGCACCAAACTCCCATTCCAAAAAAACAGACTTCAACAATCTTCAGGATCAACAGTTAAGAGCATGTTAAGGTTTACATTTTGAAGAGGGATTACAAAGCAAAAGGCAAGGAATCTGGAGAAAGAATCACCCTAGTCCATCACCAGCGAGCTGTGACTGACAGCTGGTGAGGCTTGCTCTCTGTTAACCGGACAGGATACCAGCTCTAAGCCCTGGTTTCTACTCTGCTAACATCTGCTCTCAGGGATATTGTGGACACTGAGAATATCCACTTAAAGTTGTTTTTTGTTTTGTTTTTTGGCACAGTCATTAAAATCAGAGGCATATTCATTTTTTAAAATTTTATTGGAAAATTGTATTTATTGATTAAAATGACATGATTATAATAGACTTTAAAGTAAAATTATTTTGCAGTTGAGTCAGAAAAAATCTTTTAAGGTTGAATACAGAATGAATTTTAATTTTTCCTATCTACTAAGCAGATAGATCATGCTTACCATGTTATATTATAAACTGTCTGTATTATAGCATGAAATGAGAAAAGTGAATATCATTCAGTGCAAGAAAATGAGTCAATTTAATCTTTTTAATAACTTTCACAATCACTGCTTAGTAACTTATAAAGCACCTTGTAGTGATTTAATTTTGTATATATAGTATAGGCATATTCATTTGTAAACAGTTTATAAAACTGTTCCTGACACAAGTCTTTCATGAAGCTGGTTTCAATGTTAGAAAAACTTAATGTGCCGATTTATTTTTTTTAATTTATTTGGCAGATAAGAGTTAGACAGTGAGGGAGTGAGACAGAAAGGTCTTCCTTCCATTGGTTCCACTCCCCAAATGGCCACTACGGCTGGCGCACTGAGCGGATCCGAAGCCAGGAGCCAGGTGCTTCTCCTGGTCTCCCATGTGGGTGCAGGGCCTAAGCACTTGGGCCATTCTCCCCTGCACTCCTGGGCCACAGCAGAGAGCTGGCCTGGAAGAGGGGCAACCGGGACAGAATCCCGCGCCCATATGGGATGCAGGCGCTGCAGGCGGAGGATTAACCAAGTGAGCCACAGGCGCCGCCCCCAATGTGCCGATTTTTAACATAACATAGTCCACTTTCCGAGTGTTTTAAAGTGCCTAATGTCAGTATTTTGGAATTTTTTCTCACGATTTGAAAAGTTCCAGCTCTATAACTACAAAAATGTTTCCTAATACCCGCTACTAAATTAAGGTAAAGCAGGAAAATGAACTGATCTTAGATGTGACAAAGAAAAAAAATAGCATCTGGATAAAGTGTTCTAACCACCAGCCTTGGTGCCATGTGGCCTCTTACAGAATACAACTTGTCACAGTTACATCAAATGTCCTCAACTGTGAAATGAAATGCATCTACGTCAGTACGGGGAAGACAATACTCTGCTTTCCAAGATTTAGGAGGAGTTGAGCACTCCTTGAAACGCTTCCTTCCCCGCGTTCAGGACAGATGAGAACAATCTTCCACACTTCGCTGTGCACACTGGGAGCAGAGTGAACTGTGACAGGCACTGAAACGCAGGGAGACAGCGCTGCGGCCGTCCGTCCGCGCATGCCCAGATTCTCCTCTGCGTTCCAGTTCCATAAACAGAAACCAAGAAGAATGCTTCAAGGTGGTTCTGAGAATCAAATTTAAGAAAGCAACGTAACACCCTCAGTGTATTTCCTGGCATGGAACAGGCACCAATGTCGGTCTGTCTGTAGTTATTTCATGTTCAACAGGTTTGGTAACACTGAGTGAGAGAGTTTCTGTCTCTGAAAAAGCAGCTAAACGGCATTTACCTCTATGTTATTGTTCATCAGCCCACAAGCATCGGCAAAGTCGGGATGTTTTGTGTTGATATAAGCCAGCTCGATTGCCACTAAGTTATGGACCTAGAAAAAAAATTGGGGTAATAACACAGAAATATGTCAACACAATTTTACTTTGAGAAACGTATGTGTATGTGTGTAACTGTTATACAGACAATACTGACAATGTGAAAAGTACAAGAAACTCATGCTGAAATACATACAATTATACTCCAATTAATAAGTTATGCCAACTAATAATTTGCTCTTGCTTTTAAATTACTTACATTTCAGCATCTAAAACTGCATTTCTATGGGGGGGGGGTGGATGAACAGTATTATCTCCTCAAAGCAAACTGTAGAAGTGGCCAGGTTACTCTGATCTACTTCACAAATAATAAGAATTTGTTATTGGGTTTCAGTTTACTAATGGAGAAGCTAATTACTGAAAACACAACTAAGGGACAGGTGTTGTGGTCAGCAGGATAAACTGCTGCTTGGGACACATGTGTGCCATTATCAGATGACCTTGTTCAAATCCTGACTACTCTGCTTCCCATCCAGCTCCCTGCTAACGTACCTGGGAAGGCAGCAAACAGAGGCCTAAGTACTTGGGACCCTGCCATGCATCGGGGAGACCTAGATGGAGTTCTATGCTCCTGGCTTAAGCATGGCCCAGCCCTAGTTGTTACAGGCATTTGGAAAGTAAACCAGCAGTTGGAAAATTGATCTCTCCTTTCCCCACCTGCTGCCTCCCTGTTTCTCTACCTTTCAGGTAAATACATTTTCAAATCTGAAAATAAACAATTTGTCATTAGAATCAGTGGTACTAGGAGGCGGGCACTGTGGCTAAGCCTGTAGCACCAGCAACCCATATGGGCGCTAGTTCAAGTCCTGGCTGTTCCACTTCAGATCCAGCTCCCTGCTAATGTGCTTGGGAATGCAGTGCAATGGCCCAGGCCCTTGGACTCCTTCCCCCGTGTGGGAGACCCGGAAGAAGCTCCTGGGTTTGGACAGGCCCAGCTGCAGCTGCTGGGCCATCTGGGGAGTGAACCAGCACATGGAAGAGCTCTCCTTGTGTCTCTCCCTCTCCTGTAACTGCCTCTCAAATAAATAAAATCTTAAAAACCAAAGCAGTGCCACTGCATAATACAGTAAAGCTATTCAGTCTCATGAAAACTTGTGGATGCAAGCCAAAAATGATTAAAACACCAAAAAAATGCACTTCTTAGAAGAATTATTGAAAATGTGTTCCTTTTAAATACGAAACTCACTTTTCCCTCACAAATTACTTAGATCTAAACTGCAATAAAACCAAATTTTTGTATAAACAAAGCAGCCAAACTAAAATTTAAACTTTTACTAGTATTGATTACAACTGATGATTTATGACGCAGTAGCTCACCATTTCATTTGTAACAGGCAGCCTCTTACGCAGAAGACAAGTCACCACTTCAACGATGGCATCATGAAGTTTAGGAAACCGCAGCAGTTCCTGTTTATGATGGAAGCAAGGACAACATAACCACTGATGTCCTTTAGTGGGAAATTAATCACTGAAGTGCTGAATCTGGAAGTTACATGTAAGAATATGCATTGAAATGACACTGATTGTGATGGACTGGATTTGGAAATCACATTTAAGAGTACCGTTTCACAACACTTTCAGACCTTAGCTCTGAGCCCATCTTAGAGCTTTGCTGCCCCGCACCCGCTCCCCGGCCGCTCCCCGGCCGCCCGGCGGCTACCTGCGTGCTGTAGTTGCTGCAGTGCTGGATGATCCGCTGCATCTCCTCGTGGACCAGCTCCACGCAGCGCAGGCTGGGCTCCTCCAGACGCTTGATCTGCCGCTTGACCAGCAACTCAAAGGAAACTTCAGGCACAAACAAAGCAGGACGAGGACCCTGAGGAAATGAACGTAGAGCTTTTATTACAGCACATGCAATTTCAGCTCTTCCCAAAGGTTAAGGAATAATCACGTGTGGTATGTTTCGTTCAAAGGGCTTCTTAATTTCCAGTGAAAGAGCAAAGTAGCGCACTGTAAATTCATTTTCATGTACGGCTTTTAAAAAGCTTTAACTTGATTTTTACAAGATAAAAAGCATACTCACAGTAGCATTTCTGATCGCAGTCAAAATGTCAATAGTGTTAAGGCCACCCAGTGGGTCAACAGATTCTAAGGTTCGCCCAAAAGTCTCATGGAAGATATAACAAATTCTAGCACCACCACATCTGAAAGGCAATCAAGTATATTTATTTATTTATTTTTAGCATTACTTTAAAGAAGCTGCAAGTTAAAAGTCTTCTGTAAGTTTTAAAGCTTAAACAACTCATCTAGGGGCAGGCATTGTAGCACAGGGGCTGACTGTCACCAGGAATGCCTGTATCCCGCATGGGAGTGCTGGTCTGAGTACCAGCTACTCCAGTTCTGCTCCAGCTTTCTGCTAATGGACCTGCGAAGGCAGCAGATTATGGGCCCCATACTTGGATGCCTGCCACCCTTGTGAGAGACCAGATGGAGTTCCAGATTCCTGGATTCAGCCTGGCCCAGCCCCAGCTGTTGCAGCCATTTAGGGAGTGAACCAGCAAACAGAAGATATCTGTCTCTCTGCCACTAAGCCTTTCAAATAAATATTTTTTAAAATGCCTTCCTTTCTGGGGCCGGCACCATGGCTCACTTGGTTAATCCTCCGCCTGCAGTGCCAGCATCCCATATGGGCGCCGGGTTCTAGTCCCGGTTGTTCCTCTTCCAGTCCAGCTCTCTGCTGTGGACCGGGAGGGCAGTGGAAGATGGCCCAAGTGCTTGGGCCCTGCACCCACATGGGAGACCAGGAAGAGGCTCCTGGCTTCGGATCGGTGCAGTACCGGCCATAGCAGCCATTTGGGGAGTGGAACCAATGGAAGGTAGAACTTTCTCTCTGTCTCTCTGTCTATAACTCCACCTGTCAAATAAAAAAAATTTAAAAAAACAAATGCCTTCCTTTCTAAGAAAGACTCAGATAAACATTTATACTTAGTTCCTTCCCATCTCCACAGGTTCTCAATTTGGAGTTACCCTGAATTTTTTTCATTGGAAAAACAATCATTTCCTGAAAAGTGTACATAAATACACATATATATTATGACTGTGCTGACATAAACCATCAGTTAAGCATGGCTGTACACCTTGTCTCTGTCCTCCTTGTCTTCAACTAGCCTGTAAGCTCTCTAAGCACCGGAAGCTGCCTTGTGTCCGCTGGCAGACCATCTGGAGTAGAGGTTGGTAACTTTTTCCTTAAAAGGCCCCATGGTGCAGATTTTGGAAGTTTTGGGCTGTGGCAACTGGTTACCTCTGCCATTCAGCACAAAAGCAGCTACAGAGAGTACTGCACATCAACATGGCCCTGTTCCAACGAGACTCAGGAACACTGAAATCTGAGGTCTGTGTAATGTTCTCATGTCGCCAAATACGCCCCTGTCACTCCACTTCTCCACTGACAGTGTCTACATCTCTACAATGTAAACATCACCCTTAACTGGTGTGCTGTCATCTGCCCATTTCTGCTCTAGACGATTAACTCTCTTGACCTCAGTCCTGCGCACGTTATTCTCCTGTGCTTGACTCAAGTCTAGCTGATTCTACAAATACCTTCATTGTGTGTCTCCAAACCATCCCTCCCTCTCTGTGTTCAGGGCTAGGCAGTTCTTTTTTTTTATTAACAGTAGTTAGGCAAAATGTACTAGTAGTCCAACATTATGCTAACTGAAACAAGCCAAGCATAAAATGATAGTCTGATTTTGATTATGTGCTTTATGTAGAACAGGCAAATCAAGACCCAGAGTTAGAGTTCTCTAGGAACTGGGGAAGAATGGGGAGCAGTGGCTTAGCAGATATGCAACCACTGCTGAGGTGGTAAGAAATGATGCAAACAGATACTAGGGATGGTTATACAACATTATGAACATGTTAATGCTACTGTACTGCGCCCTTAAAAATGGTTAAAAATACCAGTAACCAGTCTCTCTGCTGCCAACCTTGCACTTCTAATAAGTGGATCACTACTCTAAGACAGTTATATTTTTCAACAGCTATGGAAGTTCTACAAATTGACAAGAGCCTCACTGCCTCTGTGTCCATCACATGCACGCTGTCCTCCAAATGCATCTGCACTACTGCTGTCCAGCCCAAAACACCCTCTCCTTCCCACCTTCCCACACCACTCAGCGCCAACTCAAACGTCACAAGTATGGTGCTCTCCCAGTCCTGAGACAAAGATAAATGGTCTCATCAGCATCCTAAACCTTGATTAGGTGGACAGATAACTGATCACCTGTTTACCAAACTGTCCATAAACGTGTGCACTTTTGAGATATGTATATTTTATAAGCTGTATTTAAATACTTAAAATAATTATACTGTCGCCACCTAATCAGGCCTCATGTTACCTCAACCTGCCTTACCCACTGTTGCTTAGACCTACTGTGATAATATTCATTTCCTTCTATATGGCATATATGAAATAACCATTCAGTACTTTATCTGTTAAATACTCTGTTTCTGGAGTTAACTCATGTGACAGACCATCTGCGTCACAAAATGGACACAGAACCACACACACACAGATGTGTGAGTGTAACGTGAAGTCTAAGTGCCATGGATTGTTCCAATGTCCATTTTCTTGCCGTGCTGTAGTGAGGTAAGTAAGGTGAGGTGAAGGGTGCATTTTATCATTTCTACAAAATGGTCTTCCTGTTTGCTAGCTTAGTAGTCAGATAATCTGAGTTAAATGTCACTTGAACAAACAAACAAAAGGATCCAGCAATCCAGGTACCCAAATCTACAGAAAAATGTCTTACTTACAGCTCTGAAGTTTCAATATATTTTGCTGTTCCTTCAATAGTGTTACAGTATTCTGTGGCAAATTTGGTAATAAGCTGGAGTAAAGTAGCACTTTTGTCATCCACAGGCTCCCCATAGCTGTTCAGGAGAGACTGGTACTGAGCAGCTAGAACGTTTATTCTTGTTTTCAGCTCTGGCAAGCAATCTCGGATGTGATGCATCAGCAGCCTAACAAACATCAGAGAGAGGATTTTAAAGTGTGAGTGTGTATTATGAAGCCCCAAACAAGTCTTACTGTTAAAATGCAAACATTGGGAAAAACTCGTTAAATCATTTGTCTTGGCAGGTGTAGTGTTACAAAGTATGTATTTAGCTTTTCTGAACATTTCCTGGCACTCATCTCCTAAAATCCTTGGAATCTCCAGAGCCATGAGTGTTTCTGTATAGGAATCAGATGACTTGTGGCCGGGGCCCCCGGAGAGCTTCAGGATGGGGGCTGGTCACGAGAAAGCCCAAGGCAGGAAGGAGCAGTGGTCAGCCCCACTCTCCAAACTCTGGGGAGAGGACAGAGGCTGAGGGTTGAGCTCATTCCCACAATAGCCAATAATGTGATCAACCATGTGTGTGGATGCAGCTTCCAGAAAAACAAAAAGGACAGAGCACGTGAAGCTTGTGGGCAGATGAACACATGGAGCTTTCTGAGCATGATGTGCCCAGAGAGGGCACGGGAGCTTCAGGCCCTTTCCCACAGGCCTTGCCCTGTGCATCTCTTCCGTCTGGCTGTTCGTTTTTATCTTTTCTAATATCCTTTAAAAAATGTGTAGAAATACATTTTAGGGTTTATAAAACTGCCCACATATGTTGTATGCCTTATAACTATTTATAAAGCTGACCATATATATGATATGCCGTTTTCGAGATATATATTAATATATATAATTATAATTTTACCACCTAATCAAGCTCAATGTCCCCATCCTCAAATCAAACTTGCTAAGATCACGGAAAACCCAGTTCATAGCCCATCGGTCAGATGCACAGGCCGCAGCCCGTGCTTCCACTAGTGTCTCAAGTGCAGGCAGCCTTCTGGGACTGAGCACCCAGCAAAGGCGTGTGATGCTGTCTCTAGGGAAGCAGTGTCAGACTGAATTAAATTAGAAGATACCCAGCTAGAATCCACCGGAGAACTGAGTATTTAGTGTACTGGGGAGAAAACCACAGATCTCATGTCAGAAGCATCCTCTGCTGTGTGAGAACAGGATGAAAACACTCTTCTAGATTTTTCCTATTTCACATGCGCAGGAAATACTGCAGTCTTAGATTAGGGTAATAAATACTTAGTCTGAAAAAAAGTGGCACAAAGGAAGCTGTTTTGGTCATTCCTTTTAAATTTGCCTTTGACCAATCAAATTATACCAAATGCTAGAGAACCAAATATATACTTTAAATAAGCAAATTATTTTCATATTATTGCATTTACCACAAAGAAAGTAAGCTATTCGATCCAAAGCTACCTATTTAATTTGGGTTTCATTGACTTAACTTCTGCCATGGGTAGCCAATATAGTGAAAATCAGTATTCCTAGGATCCAGATACCTAAGCCTTTAATTTAGGGAAAAGATTTAAGTAAAAGAAGTGACTTTCACTTCAGTCATTTGTAAATCGTCTAGAAAAATCTTCTAGTCCCTACACCTACAACTTAAATTATTTCTACTATGAATAGAAACAGAAGACATTCTAAATTTAAAAAGGATGATGTGAAAATTAGATACTTTAATTCAGTCCCTGAAATTCAGTCATATGCTATCTAGTTCTATCCTATAATCATCAAAATAATCAGAACTCATCAAAAATGTCATAATTACAACATTTAAAATTCACTTAAGTGTTCTAGAGTACAGGACGATTTAATGTCTGCCATCCCAATAAAAATAAAAATAGAGACGTCTGATTTCCAAGAACCTATTACACAGAAACCAAAAGTGAAACCATAAGGAACCCAGGATGGAAATGCAGGGAACTGAAAATGCTTTGTAAATCTCAAGTACCTATTGGCAAAACAAGAACATCTCATTTGCAAAAGGTAAAAAAATGTTACCTGTTCAGAGTCCTGGCAAGATACTTTGTCCCGTTTCTATTGGCCAGAGACGGGTATTTCTTTTGAAGAAAAGCATATTCATCACGGATTGAGTCAGTTACACTCTTCTTATTGTTAATGTCTAGCTGGCTCCTAGAGTTGAAAAACAACAAAACTATTCAAGTCAAGTCAACTGTTGTCCTCTCATCCTGTTTTATGATGAAAGGGATGACAGTAATGTTAACACTAGGCTTTGCTCCCTGATACATGACATGGGTTATTCTATTTAATTCTCAGAATCATTTCTCGTGATAGGTACCACCCTATTTTACAACAAGCCAGGATTCAGACCATGTGACTTACAGCAACTGGTGCATGCATAAGCCTCATTATTAACGGCAGCCAAGAGCAGTACAGGCACAAAAATGGAAATGTATCTTAATCAACTGTGTATTTCATCCATGGACAGGTAACTAATACCAAAAATAATTAATTCAAATTGAAGAGTGATCATCTATAAATGTAACCAACAGTATTATGCCAACCGCTTGCCTGAAAGGGAAGTTGGAATGGGGAGCAGACGGATGGGGAGGTGAGTAGGGATAAGGCGGAAAGATATGTGAATAAGTAGACAACAGCAATAGATCTTAGGTATTGCTTAGGAAAAAAAAAAAAAAAAAAAAAAAAAAAAGCTTAAGACCCACAGAGGTTAGGAGTCATTTAAACCCATATTACATATCCATCTGGTTTGTACAAGGATTGGGAACAGCAGCCATGTCTCAAGATTACCTACCATGTAAAGACTTCGGGCTAAGAGCATCATCTAAATCCAGCTCTACTCTTCACTAGCCATTTTCCTTTGGCAAATATGTAACCTGAGTGTTCTGATTATAAAGTAGACAGCAACACCCACCTCACAGAGTGCTGCGAGAGTTCAAAGGGACACCATTTGGAAAATGCTCAGAGTGTCTAAAACCTAGACACTTCATAATAGTTTCCTTCTCTATAATTATTAAAACTAGCTATTTATAATAGGATACTTTTAATAAAAATTGCTCTAAATAATATCCTGGCAATTATACAAAATCCAATCTAATCCTAGTGGTAGGAGTTAAATGAATTTATTCACATCCTTCCACCTTAAATTTTGTCCTCATTGGGAACAAACTGGTAACACTTTTTTTCCTTGCCCAGTGCCCTTCTCATACATAACTGAACTTAACAGGCAACAACTCTTCAAGTCTGGCTATTAAACTGTCTTCCATTTTGTGATGCTTTGTTTAGAAAATATTTTCCATTATAAATATCTAGAGGAAGCTTTTCCCTTTAGAGCAATCAATTCTTTAGCAATGCCAACAGTATAGTAAAAGGAGGGGAAAATAAAACAATATCACATTTCTGACCCGTTTTAGAAATGTAGGCTTGCTTTAAAATGATAGTACTGCAATTCTTATTGCATTTTTGAATGCTAACCTGTTTACTACTCCAATTATTCCAAGTTTAACCGGAATAACCCTTCCCATCAATACATCCATGGCATCAGTGCCTGCATCCATGAGATCAAGTTTAGTGATTACAGCTAGGGTTCTGCGACCTGATAAATGCAAAAAAAAAAAAAAAAAAAAAAAAAAAAAAAAAAAAAAGCAAGAGAAATTAATCGATTAAATAAAGCCACTAAGTATTATTAAATCACAAAAAATTCTCATCTACAATTCCACTTTAATCTGTCATCATTTTAGTAATCCTTTTATAACCTTTGCTTACAAGCACTATAATTTGAAACGTACAATATAAAAATTTGTTTGCCCATATAATTCTGTATTACCTTTTAGGACAGACTTTCTTATATGTATTTCTAGAGTATGTTCAGAGTTTACTGTGTTGGTGTATAGTTGAGTTCTGACAAATGCAAACAGGTGTGTCACCAACACCTCAAGACAAAGCAGTTTTACTGCCCCTCAAATGTTCTTGTACTAACCAATCAAACCTGTTATCCATGCCTAACCTTTTTCTAGAATGCTCTATAATGCAATCATATAGCACACAGCCTTTGACTATGGCTGTTTTGTTCAGCATAACGCAGTTGAGAGTCACCTGTGTTGCTGTATCGGTAGTTCATTCTTTTTATTGCTGAGGAGTGCTTCATTGCATGGATGTACTGTGATTTTGGTTATTAGCTCCCCACTTGGGAGATATGTCTAGTTTCTAGAAATTATAAATACAGCTTCCATGCATATTTGCATACTAGCTTTTAAATGAACACAGGTTCTCATTTAACACAGGTAAATACCAAGAATCAGATTGTTGAACTAAAACTTCACAGAAATTGCCACACGGTTTCCTAAAGCGGCTATACCACCTGCTCCAGCAATATACAAGAGTTCTAACTGCTCACAGTATGAGGTTTTACATAGGGCATTTTTCAGTAACAAGCACCCTTCCTAAACTTCATTATCAATTCCTCAGTCCTACGACGGCCATATTAGGTTAATTTAATTTTTTTTATTTATTTGAAAGACAGAGTTACAGAAAGAAAAGGGAAACAAGGAGAGAGCGAGCGAGCTTCCATCTGCTTGTTCACTCCCCAAGTGGCCACAACAGCCTGGAATAGGTCAAACCGCGGCCAGGAGCCTGGAACTCCATCCAGGTATCCTACATGAGTGGCAGTGAGCTGGATGAGAAGTGCCAGCATTACAGGCAGTGGCTCTGCCTGCTGCACCACAACACCGGCCCTTGGTTTAATTTTTTGATACTGTAAATAATACTATTGTTAACTATGTATTTCCAGATTGACAATTACCAGATCAGAAGTATGACCATATCTGTGGTGAAAGGGTCAGTTTAAAAGTGCTAATTCAGGGTCGGCTCTGTGGCGTGGTGGGTTAATCCAACGCCTGCGGCACCGGCATCCCATATTGGCGCCGGTTCTAGTCCCGGCTGCTCCTTTTCCAATCCAGCTCTCTGCTGTGGCCTGGGAGAGCAGTGGAGGATGGCTCAGGTCCTTGGGCCCCTGCACCCACGTGGGAGACCCAGAAGAAGCTCCTGGCTTCTGACTGGTGCAACTCCAGCCCATTGTGGCCAACTGGGGAGTGCACCAGCAGATGGTAGACCTCTCTCTCTCTGCCTCTCCTTCTTTTCTAATTCTTTCAAATCTTTAAAAAAAAAAAAAAAAAAAAAAGTCAACCATCCAGGAACAAATGTTAGGGTACACCAGGTTAAGCTGCTGCTTGCGATGCTCATGTCCCCTGTCAGAATGTGTAGCATCAAGTTCTACCACCTCCTCCTCTTTTTTCTTTTTCAAGATCACTTATTATTTGAAAGGCAGTGTGTCAAAGAGAGATCTGCTGGTCACCAACAGTCAGGCTGAAGCCAGGAGCCCGAAATTCTGTTCTTGTCTTCACATGGTTGGCAGGGGCCTGAGTATTCTGGCTATCTTTTGCCTTTCTAGGTACACAGCAGAGAGCTGGATCAGAAGTGGAGCAGGCCAGGATTCAAACCGGCACTCCTAAAGGGGATGTCAGCGGAAGCTTAACCCAACTTTGCCACGGCACCAGCCCCTCTCTTCCAATGCACCTTCTTGCTAATCAGTCTGGAAGGCAGCTGATGGCTTTAGTACTTGAGTGTTTGCCACCCAGGTGGAGACCAGGATGGAGTTCCTGGTGCCTAGTTCCAGCATGGCCCAGTCGTAGCTCTTGCAAGCATCTGAGGACTGTGCCAATGATGGAGGATCTTTCTCTTTCTCTCCTCTCTCTTGCCGCTGCTGTCTCCCAAATTAAAAAAAAAAAAAAAAAAAAAGCTTTTTAAAAAATGTCAGCATTGAAGGCTGGAGTTGAGCTAGTTGGTAAAGCTGCCACCGGCAATGCCAGCATCCCACATGGGTGCCAGTTCTGAGTCTCGGCCGCTCCATTTCCATTCCAGCTCCCTGCTATCATGCCTGGGAAAACAGTGGAAGATGGACCAAGTATTTGGGCCCCTAAAACCCCTGTGGGAGACCCAGGTGAAGCTTCTGGCTTCTGGCTTTGGATAAGTCCAATTCCAATTGTTGCAGCCATTTGGGGAGTAAACCAAATGGAAGATAAATCTCTCCTGCAAATAAATAAATATTTTAAAAAAAAAGCCATTCATAAACCTAAATCATTATATTTATACCTCTTAGGAAACTTTTTGTTTTAAAGGCATTTTATTATTTAAAGTCATTAGGGGTAGGAATCTGATCTAACAGTTAAGATGCAGCTGGGACACTTGCCGTATCTCTGCCTGGCTACCAGTCCCAGCTCTACTCCAGCTTCCTGCTAATTCACACCTGGGGATAGCTGAATTCTTACCACCCACGTGGAAGACCTGGACTGAGTTCCCAGCTCGCTGCTTCAGCCTGGCTGAGTCTCACCCAGTGCAGGCATGTGAGGAGTGAACCAGTGGATGGGACGCTCTCTCTCTGTCCACTTCTCAAATAAAAGGTAACCATTAAAGATACAGACATTATGTGAATTATTTTTGCCTAGCCTGTACAGCAACTTGACAAACTTATTTTTCATCAGAATTTCTATTTGAAATTATAAGCAAAGTAGGAAAGCATTCCTTTTTTAAACTCTGTATTAATAACTGGAAATATTCCTTTTAAAAATAGAAATTCCTTTCCTGAGATTTATCATTGTCAATCAAGCATCTAATTAAATATTAACACCTGTCCTTACCGTCTGGATCTACCTCTCTTGAAATTTTCAGGGCCTCTGATGTCGCCATATCTGTATTAGCAGCAGTGACAGCGAGAATAATGGAATTGGGATTGCTGATGAAACGAAGAATGAGCTCTCGGATCTGAAGCTCAATATCCTTAGGTTGATCACCTACAGGCACCTAAACCAAACAGAGATGAGCAAGGAACTAATAATAAAATCAACTCAGCAACCCCCCCCCCGTCATTAATTCACAAATTACAGGTTATTTCTCTATTTGCAAACTGTTAACATAATGAAATTGATACTACAGGGGTATGCATGAATTTGGTTAATGTGTGAAACAGCAAAATTTAACTATTGCAAGTATCCAAAGTTGACCAACATGATCCCATGTGAAGGACTAGTCAGTGCTAACTGCCTGAGAGACAACTCCATTCAGTTATCCAGGGTCTACTGATGGCCTACCATGCTTCGGGTCCTTTTCGACATGTCAGAGTACAATACAGCAGTGAATCTAAAACAGACCAACCGTTCTGCCTTCATAAACCTGTGTTGTAGTGATTACAAATACTCATAGTATCCAGGTGGTAGAATGGGCTATAAAAAATACAACGTAGACTCTGCAGGGATGATCTGAAACTGGGTTGTTACCTTTGAGAGAATGACAGAAAGTGAAGGTGGAAAGGGAAGGGCACACGCAGGTGTCTGGGGAAGGAAGTCCCAGGCGGGGTGACAGCAGGCAGCAGCATGGAGCAAGAGTCAGAAGAAGAGTATGGAGACACCAAATAGACACTTAGATTTCTGTAAGAACTCGGGCTCCTACTCTGAGTGGAATGGGAGGCTACTGGGGCGAATTTTTAGCGAGGACGGACACAGTCTAATGTTTAATACCATCACTCTGGCTGCTTAGTTAAGAACAGGCAGATAATGAGAAAGAGCTGTTATTTATTTGCTTGTTGTACCAACCAAACCAGGTGAATTGACACTGGTCTAATGAGACACAGTAGCGTTCTGGGTGTCCTGTACAGGTGAGGACAGCAAAGAGGGCATGCTGACAGGAAGTGTAATGCAGAATAAAAAGCATAAGGATGACTACAAATTTTGGCTAAGCAATTGGTAGAAGGGAGTTGTCATTTATTGAGAGGGGAGAAGATTAAAAAAGGGTCAAATCTAGGAATTTGGTATCCAACTTGTCAGATCTATAACACTTACAAGACACTTAAGTGTACAAGGGTACTTCAAAAAGTTCATGAACATGGAATTTAAAATGTTACTTTGGTGTGTAAGTTTTTCAAATCGATGTGCAGTTTTTCTTAATACACATTTTCTACAAACTTTTTGAAGTAGCTTTTTATCTGTCAAGCAGACAGATATACAAATATCTGGAGATACTTGAATGCCATCAACATATAGAACCTTAAGTATTTTAAAGCCACAAGATCTGAAGAAATCATGTAGGGGACGGAGTCCAAAAACTGAGCTATGGGGCACTCACTGTTCAGACAACGGGGAGATGAGAAGAAATCAACAAAAGAGACTGAAAGAAGTGGCCAGTGAGCTTGGAGATAAACCGGAAGAGTATGGTATCCTGGAAGCCAAGTAGAGAGAGTGTTTCAAGGAAGGCTCAGCTCTATCAAATGCTTCTAACAGGTAAGTGTGACTGCAAAAAGAAGCTGGTTATTCTCACCCGGGGTTAGGGAAAAACCACAATGTTTCAAGCAAAAATTAACATAACCAAAAATCACAATGAGTAACAATGACTCCTTACCTTGGTCATTCCTGGCAAATCCACAAGTGTCAAATTGACAACGTTGGGTGAAAAGATCTTAAGATGAATTGGTTCAGGGCTTACTCCCTAAAAGTAAAATATATATTAAAATTATATTAACAATTCAATGAAGAATGCAATACTGTAGTAAATCTCATTTCAAGCAAACATTATATCTTTTTAAAAATGTATTACATCACAATCTATAAAACGTTTTAAAAATCTAAACCTGTTGAAATACATGGGACATAAGTCAGCTGGGTTATAATACTACTGAACCCCATACCAATAATAAGAACAATTTATTTCCCCTGTAGTTTGCTTTCTTTTCTCTTGATTCTAAGCATGTATCATTTCTTAAATATGTTTAATACAGTGCTGAACAAAACAACATATTTCTCACTATCCAAATTTAAGAGGTGCCAGAGGTTCAGACAAGGAAACACAGGTAAATTATTCAATTAAATTTGATGGGGCAGATGGGCGGGTGGGCGGACATTTGGAAAGGTGGTTAAATCAAATCGCTTGGGACATCTGTATCCCATATCTAATTACCTAGTTCAAGTACTGGCTACTCTACTTTGCATCCAGCTCCCTGCTAATGTGCACCCTGGGAGGCAGCAGGTGATGGATCCCTGCCACCCATGTGGGAGAACCAGACTGAATTTCGGGCTCCTACTAGCTGTTGCAGGCATTTGAGGAGTGAACCAATACATCAAAGATCTACATCTGTTTCTCTGTCTTGTAAATAAAATGAAAATACGCAATTTTTGAAAGGGTTATTGCATAGTGAGGTTGTTTCTTGTGCTACAAAAAGGGGGAAGGGATCAATTCGGTTCTTGATCTTTGAATATCAAGTGGCAACACTAGTGTGATAAGAAATTTCTAAGGAAATACATCTGGGCTGGTGCTTCCATGTCTATCCACAGTGCTCCAAGTCCTCGTCCAGAGCCCCTGGAGTACACGTTCCAGGCCACTCATGTGCCCAGTCTGTCCAAGGTGGTTGCATTCTCTCCATTACTGAACTGAGAGGGGGACTGTGCTGCTTGGATGAAGCTTGTGGGATTTTTGGTGAAACTGAGTGATGAAAGTGTAACCACTGCACTGAAGAATGGGACACAGGTCCATGGAACAACCATGGGTGCAGATGCCAGCATGAACACACACCTTGAAGCTGTGAAAATGACCCAGGGGAACAGAAACCTGTACAGCTGGATACACGGAGTTAGAGGAAATGCCATTCCCCAATTTATTCTACCAGACTGCTTCCCTCTGAGCGCCCTTCACAGGGATGCTAAACTTAAGGTAAAAAAAAAAAAAAAAATTAAAGATTTATTTTACCTACTTGAAAAGCAGAGTTACAGAGTTAGAGACAGGGAGAGACAGAGAGTGAGAGGTCTTCTATCATGATGCTGGTTAACTCTCCATATGGCCATGACGGCCTGGACTGGGCCAGGCTGAAGCCAGGAGCTTTTTCCAGGTCTCCCCCTTGGGTGCATGGGCCTGAGCACTTGGGCCATCTGCTGCTTTCCCAGGGGCATTAGTAGGGAGCTGGAATGGAAGTGGGGTTGCTGAGACTGGAACAGCTGCTCTGGCACAGCACTGGGCCCCCAAGGTGAAATCTAAGAAAAGGGGAGGTACTGCAGGAAGAGGCCAAGGAGAGGAAGGGGACTCAGCCACAGCAGAGAGAGGGTCCGAGGTGATGATGGCTCTCCAGATTACTGTGTGAGTCATGAGCAATTTGTGATTTTATGTTTCTTGTACGGGTTTTGTCACTTTTTAATAAACATAAATGTTGGACAGAAAAAAAAAATGTACCTGAATCATTAGGGCCCTGAATTAAAAGTCAAAATTCGGATGGTGAGAGATCACCTTTAATTTTTTCTTCTGTAGACTAGATTTAGATTATTACAGACTCCCCCCTCCTTTTCACCATGGGCCCTTTATACATTTTAGGACTGAGTTAGCCAGATATTAAGATACCTAAGAGGCAGGCATTTGGCCTAGTGATTAGACTCTGGTTAGGATGTCCATGGAGTGCCTGGTTCAGTTTCCAGCTCTGGCAGCTGACTCTGGCTCCCTGCTAACACAGACCCTGAAAGGCAGCAAGGACAGCACAAGTGACTGGGTTCCAGCTACCCAGGTAGGAGGCCTGAACTGAGTCTGGCTCCTAGCTTCAAGAGCCTGTAGCGACCTGGCTTCAGCCTGTCCCTGGCTCTGGCCCCATTACCGCAGTATGTGAGGAGCGAACTAGTGGAAGGTGGCTCACCTGCTCTCGCCCTCTCTCTCTGCCTCTCAAATCACACAAAAGGGAAATAGACACTGAGATGTTCCTACCTTGTCTTGGTACCTACTCTCTTATCCTTTAATCTGTCCTCTTGTCTATTTATCCACTGTAAACTTCCCCTCTTTAACCCACTGAACATTTTAATTTCCCCAGAAGGTTTTTTGAGCATCCATTACTCTGAGTTCCCTATGGAGTTACGATTGTTTTAGATTACTCTGAACTACTTTTCCATTTTAAATGCCCCACTGTGCAGAAGTGATTCAGGGTCACTACCTGGGTTGTATGTTTCTCAGGATCTTCATGGCCATGGCACTCCTTATCATGTCCAGTACAAAGACTTGCCCAAATGCCTTTACAACTCCAATCTCATGGACATTTTAAATCCTTCAGGGCTACATACTAGGCATATGAAATCATTTATATATTCAGTCATATAAAATTACCTAAGATCAAGCATCATTTACTTTATTACAAACCTAATTTAGGAAAGGAGATTTTTCAGAGATTTGAGAATGGCAAACATTTCGTCTTTCAGACTCTGGATGAAAAAGCCTATTAAATAAGTAAATTATATCCTCTGAATAAATTAAATATCTTGTAGGTATAAAGACCCAATTTTTCATTACATTCAATTTAGTGTCACTAAAAACTCACTTCTGAATCACCACGGTTTCACAGTCTCTAATCTCTAGCACTGTGTAAAATCACCACCAATTTTACTGAACTCAGTAAATATACTGGGATCATAGGAGAGACATTCAGGCTGGTGTTATGATTAATAATGTCAAAGAAGCCAAAATTATCTCTGACATAATTACAGGACTGAGGACAAGGTAATCCAACTTTCAGCCACTTGTTATACTTCTGCACAATGTGATCCTTAATCACTGCATCAAATGCCCATTCCAGGTTGGTTTTTTTTTTTTTTTAAGATTTTTTATTTATTTATTTGAGATAGAGTTACAGACAGAGAGAGGGAGAAACAGAGAGAAAGATCTTTTATCCGCTGGTTCACTCCCCAAATAACCACAATGGCTGGCCCAACAATCAGGAGCCAGGAGTTTCTCCCAGGTCTCCCACTTGGGTGCAGGGACCCAAGCACTCGCACCCTCTTCTACTACTTTCCCAGGCCATAGCAGGGAGCTGGATCAGAAAACTAGCCGCTGGAACTAGAACCTGTGTCCATATGGGATGCTTGGCCGCAGGCAGAGGCTTAGCCTACTACGCCACAGGGCCAGTCCCCTCATCTTTTAAGATTTTATTTATGTGAAAGGCAGAGTTACAGACAGATCTTCCATCAGCTGGTTCACTCCCCTATATGGCCCCAATGGTGGAAGCTTGGTCAGGCTGAAGCCAGTAGCTTAATCTGGGGTGCCCACTTTGGGGGAGGGGCCCAAACACTCAGGCCATCCTCCCACTCTCCCAGGCACTTTTAGCAGGATCAGAGGTAGAGCAACCAGGACTCAACTCAGAGACCATATGAGATGCGGAAGCTAAAGGCAGCAGCTTAACCCACTGCACCACAAGGCCTCCCCCTATTTTAGATTTTCAGTCTTGGAAAAAAGAAAGCAATCCACTGGTAGTGTACTACTTTTCATTTTTACTGTAAAAACTACTTGATTTTTCTCCGCTTGTTTTCACAAGTCTAAGCTTACTAAGAGTTCTTCAAAAATACATTCATCTCATAAACTACATAGTACCCCCTGAGTTACAGTACAATCCATCCATCAGAAACAGAGAATGTACTACGGCAGTATTAAGTAGAACAATTACAAAATCACAAAGTTGTATGTGTAAGATAGAGTAAAAAATAAACTCCTAGATAAAATATGTGATTTATATAAAAGCTCTAAGAAACAACAAGGACTATAAGCAAAGTTTTTATCTATTAGTGGAAATCATCCACTTATTTCAGGGTCCAGCACCATGAATTTATAATGCCCTTCATACATTATATACAGAATACCCTCAATTAAATATTGACAGATGTTTATGCCCCAGCTCTAAAAAACAATGCATACCTTATTATTTCCTGAAATTCTTTCTGTTTCATTTTCAATTTCTTGTCGAATTTCATCAAAATCTGTGTAAAGCTACAAAATTATTGGAAGAAAAAGCCCAATATTGAAAATCAAAGGTTTTTATGTGGGGAAAGGGGATACCCATAATGTATTTGTAGGATATCAGTTGATTTACTTCAGAGAATTAGTAAACAAATTCATATTTTTATCATTTTCCCAAAGCTGCCTGGTTCCACAACAGTTAACAATCTCCAAATTTGAGATAACTGAGCTTAATTAAAGTTTATTTTCCAAATAAATTACTATGATTAGCAATGTTGCTAAGAATTATTTCACAAGAAACAGTTGCTTCAAAATAACAGAACATACCACCAGTAAGAAATTAAATGATCAACTACTATGCAAACATGGTATTTCTTCATTATATATTCTTGTGTGATTACCTTATTTTTGGTGTGAAGAAATTTACCCCATTCTTCTGCTTCTACCCCTGGAAAAAGAAAAACTTATTTATTGGAAACTGTGGAAATTGCTTTTTATCATTAGTCAGCAACACAATAAACTGTTACCTGTTTCTATTTTGCCATCAACTGCAAACTAACAAGAATTTTAAGAACTGCTAAATTATATTTTTCATATTTAAAAATTATCATTTCAATAACCAATTTCGGGTAGAGTCACTCACAAGTCTTCCCACCAGTTGAAATCCAGAATTCATGAATGAAAGTCTCTACTTCTCTTCATTTTTGCTTGAATAACTGTATTACAGTAAAAGGTATAGTCTTTACACATCTATATGCAATAGCAGTTTATGTGATGGAAGTACTAAAGTAGATATCGGCTAAGAAGAAAAATAAAGAATCCCAGTGAGTGGTGTGCAAGTATATTACACCTTGTAAATACCACACAAGGAAAAATTTCAGCATGTGAGTGAAACGGGTGGTTTTTCAATTAAATTTGGTTTCCTCTTGGTTATCTATAAAGGCAAAATTTATTACTCCTTTAAAGAGCTCTCTCACTAGTAGGGAGCTAGCAGCTTTGTAAACAAGAAGCCTTTCACGGTCATTTTGCCTCAAGGTCAAGACTGTTTTCCCCAGCCTGCGCTGTGGCTCACTTGGTTAATCCTCCGCCTGAGGCGCCAGCATCCCATATGGGCGCCAGTTCTAGTCCCGATTGCTCCTCTTCCAGTCCAGCTCTCTGCTGTGGCCCAGGAGGGCAGTGGAGGATGGCCCAAGTGCTTGGGCCCTGCACCCACATGGGAGACCAGGAAGATGCACTTGGCTCCTGGCTTCTGATAGGCACAGCGCCAGCTGTAGTGGACATTTGGGGAGTGAACCAACGGCAAGAAGACCTTTCTCCCTCTGTCTCTCTCTCTCACTGTCTATAATTCTACCTGTCAAATAAATTAAAAAAAAATCTATAAAAAAAGACTGTTTTCCCTTAAAACTGGAGAAAGGAAAGAAGGGAAACGGAGGACAAGAAAAAGAAAACAAAACCCTGGAATCTGCACCGTACGGAGATGTCACCTCCATCAGGTGTCGACCAGAGTTCTGTTCCTGCAGCACTTGGCAGAAGAAAGGACAACATCTGCACTGTGTGAGGTGGGCTTAAACTTGGGGAGCAAGTGTCATTCTCCTTTCCCAGAGAAGCTAGACATGTCTAGTTGTTCAAACAGAACTTAACTTTTCCTCCCCAACTATGTTGCTTTTGCCAAATTCAGAGAAGTTGAAAGTCTTAGTGATTAAGTATAATAATAGCTTATTAAGCAAATAAGCTACCTGAAATAGAAATAAAAATGACTGTAAGATATTCACCTATTTACATATTGGGGTTCAATTCTCTGGTGGAACAAAGGTAAATAAAACTGGATCCTTTTTCCAAGTAAAATGCTCACCTACTTGACGCTTAGTACCTTCTTCCAGGAAGTCTGGAGGACTGGAGTAATATGGGTGAACAGAACTCACAAAGGCAGGCACTCCATAGCAAAAGGATGTTTTTTTAATTTACCTTGTCATAAAAAAGGCCTGACTTCACAAGCATATTTTTTAAAAAATAAAAATAAAATAAATTACATTCACCACCATAAAAGCTTCCATTTTGATGCAATGCCAAAAAGATAGCAAGAACCACTAAAACCTGCAATCAATGTGGATAGGCAAATAAAAATGAAGAAAAAAAATGCACACAGCCTGTAAGAGTACATAGCACACATGCAGGCAGGAGAGAGAAAGAGCCAAAAACAAGTGGAGAAAGGAAACCTTTAGAAAGGTGTCTCGAGTTTTTCCATGTAGCAGGGTCTGTAGTTAAAGAGAAACAGCACAGAATGGTGAGTTTAGTGCTTATCCCTAAAGTGTTAAACCTTTTTAAAAAATTAAATGTGCAAAAACCTGATCACACTTCAAATGCACACAGCATTCAGTTATTCAAACTTTGTAGCTAAAATTAGACAATTATATAGTATTTTAAGTGATGTAAACAAAGCATAGTGTTATAATTTACTTTTAACATTGACAGAAAGCACATTATCCCTTCTAATTAATTATGTCACCACTGTTTCTAACTCTGATACAAATGAATTTACAAGTTCATTTACTACAAATTTTGTCTGGGACCACTGTGGAGCGGCAGCAGGTTAAGCCACTGCTTGCAGTGTCAGCATCCACTATCAGAGTACTGGTTCAAGTCCCGGCTGTTGCGCTTCTGATCCAGCTCCCCTGCTATGTGCCTGTGAAGGCAGCAGCAGATGGCCCAAGTACCTGGGTTCCTGTCACCCATATGGGAAATCTGGATGGAGTTCCAATATGCTGGTTTCAGCTTGAACCATTATAGCCACTTTGGATGTGAACCAGCAGATGAAAGATCTCTGTCTCACCCTCCCTCTTTCAAATAAATAAATAAATAAATCTTTTTTAAAAAATTAAAATTTTGCCCGAGACAGCTGATAACCTACTGTGGAAAAACACAAATTTCCCAATAAAAAGAGTCTGTAAAGTATACTAAGGAAATCTTCGAAGGCCTTAAGAGTTGATAAGTATACGCCAGTACAGACTCCGTTAGCTATGCTGAGCTTTAATGAGGGTATTTTCTTTGAAATACATAATGAACTTAACAAGCCACCACAGAAAGCGAATGTTCCCCCCTTTGTACATTAAATCCAGAGGGAGTCCACTACTTCGAGACTACAGCACAGCCCTCCAAGCAGTGAAGACCAACTCTATGTTCTTACTGCCTTTTGGGAGATGGCTTTTACAATTAGGTAACTCAACTGCATGGGAACAAATATTCAAATTACACCCAGATTTGTAAGCATTATCCTATAAAGCATAAATATTTATATTAAAAAATTAAAACTTGCTTTAAACAAACTTTCTCTTCCAAAAATAAACACAATTCCTGCAACTGTTCCAAGTTTCCATGGACATTGTCCAGAGCTATACTAAAAAAAGCACAATGTCAACCTCTCATCAACATCACTCTTGAATTTTGTCTTAAAGGAAATCTGAGAAATGCTTCATTATTTCTTAACAAAATGTGAAAGATAATTGTGAGGTTCAAACTAAACCACCATCCAACTCTAAAACAGTTTCATTTTGTCTTTAATAAGCATTTAACTGAAAATTCTTTTACACTAGAAGTGGAGGACAAGCTGAGAATACCATAAATCTACATACTGACACCTCAATGTATCCTATGTACCTGGAAGAATGAAAAACGCCCATAAATTTTCCTCATAACTGAACACTAGCATATTTTAGGTAATTTGGATGGACATATCTGCAATGGATTTCATTTCTGCTTCTCAGAATGTACTGCTCTTAGCCTATTACTGGTAACTTGGGCCTTTAAATCACAAAGCCCTCACAGGCTGTAAACCCCCATACAAAATGGTTAGTGACTGATTTTTTTGTTTTCTGAAGTCCTTACATCTGCTTCTTTTTCCTCCCTTCTTTCCCACTGTTAGGCTGTCAGTTCTCACTCTTTTAGCTGACTAATGATTCCGAATTTCCTCTAGGTTAGAATTATTTAAGGTAAGTTAAAACTATCCCAAGGGTAGAGCGGCTCTGACAAGAAGTTAAGGACATAGCCTAGAAAAAAAAAAAAAAATCACATGAAATTCAGCGCTTAGATTTATGAAAACTATTTTGTATTCTGGATACCTGAGTTATGATTTTAAGCAAGGTAAGTACATATACACACATACTCACATGCATGTGTGCATACTCATGTAGAACGATACATACAATAAGCACTAAGCTTGACAAAAGAAATCATAGACAGGTGAAGATCTGCAGATTTACTGACCATCAAGGACAGACGTCAACAAAACACAGGGGACACACAACAAGGAGCAAACAGTAACAGCTGAAATGTACACTTTGCTAAAAGCAAAGTTTTGTCTAAGGAAACTACCCATATCTGCAAATAGCTTCTGAGACACAGGATATCATCTAGCCTTCGAAGGGACTGAAGACAATGACAAGTTAAGAGACTTGGTAGCAGGTATTTGGCGTAGCAGCTAAGACACTGCATCTGATGCCAGAGTGCCGGGGTTCAAGCCCCATCGCCACTTCTAATTCAGCTTCTTGCTAATGCAGAGCCTGACAGGCAGTAGTAACGGCCCAAGTACTTGGGTCCCTGCCACCCCGTGAGAAACCTAGCTTGAGTTCCTAGTTCCTGGCTTCACCCTGACCCAGTCCTGCTTGCTGCAGGACAAAAATTTAACAAAAAGATTTTATACCATACAGTTTCTTAAGTCTTAGTTAAGGTGTTCAGTAAGTTTGTTTAAAAGAAATCATGAAGGATTAAATTTAGAAAGTGTTCGTCTGTTCTCTCTGAAGCTGAACCACAGGTGAAACCAAGAAGACTAAATTTAAGGTTCAAGATTTCAAAAATAAATATTACAGAAATGCAAAGTGATGAATAACATACCAAGAAGCTACCCAACATAATTAAAAGTTCTACATATTCTCCAGCAGTCTACACGAAACAGTCCTTGTTACTATCTACATTATTAACTTGCTTCAGTGATTAATGTTTTAGAGTCATAATAGATGTTCCCTTTAAAAAAAAAAAAAATCACAGGCACCGCGGCTCAATAGGCTAATCCTCCGCCTGCGGCGCCGGCACACAGGGTTCTAGTCCCGGTCGGGCGCCGGATTTTGTCCTGGTTGCCCCTCTTCCAGTCCAGCTCTCTGCTGTGGCCCAGGAAGGCAGTGAAGGATGGCCCAGGTCCTTCGGCCCTGCACCCGCATGGGAGACCAGGAGAAGCAGCTGGCTCCTGGCTTCGGATCAGCATGGTGTGCCGGCTGCAGCGGCCATTGGGGGGTGAACCAACGGAAAAGGAAGACCTTTCTCTCTGTCTCTCTCACTGTCCACTCTGCCTGTCAAAAATAAATAAATAAATAAATAAATAAATAAAAATTTAAAAAAATCAAGCCATCACAACCCAGAGCTCCTATAATAAATGAAGAAATAAATCAGATACAGAAATTAAAGCAACTTCAATGTTGTCAACACTATCATCCCATTTTAAATAAGAATATAAGTAGAATGGGGGCCAGTGCTATGTTGCAATGGATTAAAGCCCTGGCCCGCAGTGCCAGCATCCCATATGGGCACCAGTTCAAGTTCTAGCTGCTCTACTTCCAATCCAATTCCCAGCTAATGTGCTACTGCTCCTGGGAAAGCCGCGGAGGACAGGCCAAGTCTCTGAGCCCCTGCACTCACATGGGAGACCTGGGGAAAGCTCCTGGCTCTTGGCTTCGGATCGGCTCAGCTATAGCCATTGAGGCCATTTGGGGAGTGAACCAGCGGATGGAAGACCTCTCTGTCTCTACCTCTCTCTGTAACTCTTTCAAATAAATAAATCTTTTTTTTTTTTTTTTAAAGAATGTAAGTATAATGAAATGGCAAAGAGGGGAAGGCATTTGGCACAGCAGCAGTTAAGACGCTGTGTAGGATGCTGGCATGCCATACTGGAGTGCCTGGATTTGACCATGACACTGCTTCTGACTCCAGCTTCCTGGTAGTGTACACCCTGGGGGACAAGAGATGATGACCTAAGGGGTTAGATCCCTGAGATCCACATGGCAGACCCAGATTGAGGTCAATGCTCCTGGAATTGGCTTGGCTCAGCCCACAGCTGCCGGAGGCATTCGGAGAATGAACCAGTATAAGCTAGCTTGCTCTTTTTGCCTTCAAGTAAAATGAAAATAAATGTTTATTTTTTTCTAAAAAAGAACTACATTGAAAGAAGATCTCTGTAGATAAAGACACAGTAGGGGCCAGTGCTGCAGCATAGCAGGCTAAGCCTCTGCCTGCAGCAATGGCATCACCTATGGGCGCCGGTGCGTGTCCTGGCTATTCTTCCTTCGATCCAGCTCCACTGTTTATGGAAAGCAGTGCAAGATGGCCCAAGCACTGCACCCACGTGGGAGACCCATAAGAAGCTCCTGGCCTCAGATCGGCTCAGCTCCAGCTGTTGTGGCCAACTGGGGAGTGAACCAGTGGATGGAAGACCTTTCTTTCTATCTCTCCCACTCTGTCTGTAACTCTACCTCTCAAATAATACATAGAAATCTTTAAAAAAAAAAGTTTTAAAGAAAGAAACACACAGTATTCTGCTGCAAAATTCATTTAATAATTAGAACTATTTTACAGACTTAAGAAACAAAATATGAGCCAAACACTGAACTAAACAGGAAGATTAAATATTTTACTCTCAGTAAACATTTCAAACACCAGTAATACAAGTATGATTAATAAAGGATATACATTTAATAAACAACTTAAAATCTGCATTAAAGGAAAACACGCATTATTTCCATTCTCCATCCTTTCTGTTCAGAGTCCACTAAAGGGACCTTAAGAAAGGTTAGCTGGAGACTAATACTGAACACAGTAGAGCGGCAGATCTTTAAAAATCAAAGTAGTAAGTGCTATATAGTTAGACCTCAGCAAGAGAAGGAGGATAAAAACTAAAAACGATCTTAAAATTAAAGTCTCCTTCTATAAGCAATATTCATTCATCCTATATTCATGGGCAAAAGAATCAAAATTAGCAGGTACATGCCAAGACCTGAAAATAGAAGGTAAGGATGCCAAACAAAAAAATTTTATTTAAAATGGAAACTTCAGACAACAATCTAAATGACTTACATTATAAATCAAGGAAAAAAACAATCAGTGGTATAACGTAAAATAAAAAACTTTACAACACTTCAAAACAGAATTAAAAACTTTTTCTTTAAAATAACTGGTTCCTGTTTACTAAGTTCAATTACACAAACAAGGACCATTCTTAGTAACTTTACTCACGGCCTTTCAAAGAAACAAAAACAGAAACTTCTTTTTTAACTCTGAAAAAGATGCATTCTAACTTCTCTTTGTGGGACTTCTGATTTTGCTATAGGCATTAATTTCTAATTGCCTAATCAACTCAGACATTTTTAAGAATAGACCAAAAAGGAAAGAGTTATCAAACAATCTGCATCCTAACTCTGAAATTTACCATTTTCTTCTCCGCTTGTTTTTCGTTTGTCTTCTGGTGACACGTGGACCAGCTGCAGAATGAGAGGCCTCCGGGTGACAATGCCAGTGCCTCTGGGCAGCAGGTCCCTCCCCACTAGGCTTTCCAGCACAGAACTCTTCCCACTGCTCTGGAGACAAAATACAAAAGAGCACGGTGAGTTTCTTTAACCATAACAACGAAGCAGCATACAGAGAAATTATCTGAAAGGAAAATTAGTAGACTTTCAAAATAAAATTTAGTTACATTTTTCTATGGAGACTTTTACCTCTTTAAAAAAAAAAGAAATCCAAAAATAGCAAGTAAATGCCCCCACTTTCCATAATTTTGCTATTTTTTTTTTTGCTCTCAGTGAACCAGAATTTTTTTTTTTTTTTTTTTTTTGGAGAGTTAGACAGTGAGAGAGACAGAAAGAAAGGTCTTCTTCCGTTGGTTCACCCCCTAAATGGCCACTATAGCTGGCGCACTGCGGGCGGCGCGCCACACCGATCTGAAGCCAGGAGCCAGGTGTTTCCTCCTGGTCTCCCATGCGGGTGCAGGACCCAAGCACTTGGGCCATCCTCCACTGCACTCCTGGGCCACAGCAGAGAGCTGGACTGGAAGAGGAGCAACTGGGACAGAAAACGGCACCCCAACAGGGACTAGGACCCAGGGTGCCGGTGCCGCCGATGCCATAAAATGTGGTGATTTTACTTTAATGGGGAGGATATTTTTTTCTAATCTGCTTATATTTTAATATAATGATCAGGGATATCATTCCATATCAATGTATTAACTTCTGTGTTTAATAGTTAAAACAGTAGCCTACTATATGGTAAAACCACACCCTAACTGATGGCATTTAAATGTTTTTTGTTATTATTAACAACACTGCAGTGTGTATGCTTATTATACATACAACGTTACTCAATATCCTGCTACCTCTTTAGATTTAGTTCATTTAAATTAGACTGCCGTGCTTTCAAAAGTACTGCCAGGCTGAACACCACACCATGTGTTCAGTTTGCTGCATCCCCATCAGGACTGGGCATGATCACTTTTGGAATCTTTGCTACTTTGATGGACACTGGCAGCTCATTTAAAGTTGCATTTCTTTATGACTGAGGTCAAGGATTCTTTTTCAAGGGTTTTCTGTTATGCTTCTTTTAGTGATCTGTTCATTCAAATGCTAGTATTTGATATTTCCTGTTACTAATAAAGCTGTTTAATCCATAATGTAAACATTTCATTTCTTGTTGTTGGGAACATTGTCTCCCAACTTTTTAGTTTGAGATTTTTAATGATACCAGTAAGCTGTAGCAATAAAAGCAAACACTCACTCATATGCCAAAACACAGATTGACTTACCAAAACTGACATATTTGCTTTGTTTCTGCTTATACACACATATACATATTTTCTTTTGTTGTTCCATTTGAAATTTACTCACTCATCTCAGGACACTTTACTTCAAAGAACTGTGGCACGTTAACTCCTAAGAACAAGGCATTCTTCCATAACTACAGTACAATGATCACACTCAGGAAATCTAACATAGGTGCCATATTAGCATCTAATATATACCAAAAATAAGTAAGCCCCTACTATACACTTTAAGTGTACATTAGGCTAATTTACAGAGGCTTTACTGTCAAAGGGACTCCTTACAAAACGCAGGCAAGGCTCAAGGAAGACTCACAAGGGCTAGCACGTGCAGCAGGCTAGTCACCGGAGGCGCTCACGTCCCTCGTCCACCCCAAGGAAGGACTTGAAGGAGAGCCACAACCAGCCAAGGCTCCTTCACACAGGAAGTACCAGACAGGGCAAGAAATACCCGGATTCTGTCTTCCTTCCTCCAATTTTCTGCCAGGAATGGTGAACAGTCAGCCTAAAGATTGCACGGCTTGAGTGTGAGCTAGACTTTCTGGAACTGCTAGGTGTTGGTATACAGGGCCGGAACGACCCTCTTGAAGTAAAGGAGTTACTTTCTGTAATTTTGTTTCTGTACTCTGAAATAAACACAGAAATTTCCTGTTCTTTATGTCTGATGAAAGCGGTCCATTAAAAAAAAATCATCTAATTCTCTTGGATTTTCAATGTACAGGCTCATAATATTCTTAGAATTTGTTATTTTTCTTATTTCTAATATTTTATTTTTATGTTCTTTTTCCTGACCAGAGTTTTCCATTGACAATTAAGTTGATTTCATCAGTCAAGTATGTCTTTTATTATTTTTGCCACGTCATGTTTTCTGTATTAATTTCTTCTTTCTGTCTGGTTTTGTTGTTATTGTTTGTAGGGAAAGGAGAATACGTTATTTTAAAGAACTCCTAGGATTGCATATTTACATTATTCTTTTTTCTTTTTAAAGACTTATTATTTATTTGAAAGGTAGTTTAGAGAGAGGCAGAGGCAGAGACAGGTCTTCCATCTGGTGGTCCACTCCCCAAATGGCCACAAGGGCTGGAGATGGGCCATTCAGAAGCCAGGAGCTTCTTCCTAGTCTCCCACATTGGCGCTGCAGGGGCCCAAGCACTTGGGCATCTTCTACTGCTTTCCCAGGCCATAGCAGAGTTGGATCGGAAGTGGAGCAGCCAAGTCTCGAACCAGTGCCCGTATGGGATGCTGGCACTGCAGGCGACAGCTTTACCCACTACACCACAGCACCAGCTGCTAGCTTCTCTTATCTCAGATACCAACACTGGTACCTCCTATCAACTCATATATCAACACGCACCACCCCCTTCAGTTATCTCTATTCTTTCTTCTATACCAAGATTTGTGGTTCTCAATGGTAGTATATGATAGAACTTTGCACCACAAAAAAAAAATCACTTATTTGCTTTTCATTTCACATTATACAGATTCTTGAAATAATGCCAATACTACCACTAGCAACATAATTACTGAAAACAATTTTCTAAATGTTTCCCATATGATCCCTCTATCCTCCTTATCACCCCTTTACAAATCATTTTCTCCTTTTAAACTCTCATTTGGTCTTGGTTTAATTAATGTGTCAGGAACTCGATACTGATGCATCTCCAGTCAGGCATTGGGGCTCAGTGTGTTAAGGCGCATCATGGGAAGCCTGCATTCTCTTCAGCCTGGGTTTGGGTTCTGGGCTGCTCTACTTCCAATCCAGCTTCCGGCTAATGCATTCTATGAGGCAGCAGCAGATGTCTCAGGTGCTTGGGCCCTTGCTACTCACAGGGGAGATCTGAGCTCCTGGCTGTGACCTCACAGAGTCAATCTGTTGGGGGCATCTGAGGAGTGAGCCAGCAGATATCTGTCTGTCTCTGTCTCACTCAGTTAGGTTATATGTAAAACTGTTAACTTGTACTTTTTTGAGTATCTTACATATGAATACTGTCTTCTTTTTCAAAATGTTGCTATTCAAAGTATGACAATAATATTTTTCCTTCATGTAGAAGGGGCTTTGTGACTTCCACCTGATTGTCTGAAGGATTTTTATTATTCCTTTGAAGTCCAGTAATTTTTCTAGGCCATCTCTGTTTTAGTTTTCTGTGTTAACATTCTCAGGTATGTGCCGTATTCTTTCAAAATGTCATTCCAATCTGTTTTAATTCATTAAAATTGTCTTAATTGTTAATTTTTAATATCTGTTCTCTTACTATGATTTTCTTATTTAGGAATTTCTGTGATACATATGTTGAATCTTCTTGTTTCTAACATGTTAATTTCTATCACTGGAGGTCCTAGAATCAAGTCCCAGCTCTACTCCAGGTTCCAGCTTCCTAATGCATATCCTGGGAGGCCGTAGTAATGGCTCACATACATGAGTCTTGGCCACCCACAAAGGAGACCTGGTCCAGCTTCAGCCATTGTAGGCATTTGAGGAATGAACCTGGACGGATAACCTTGCTCATCTCTTTCTGTTCCTTTCATATAAAGGGAAATGTAAATAAATAAAAATTAAAACAAAAAAGAATTGTAATATATTCTTATAAGGGACCATTATAGGACAGTGTAACTAAACCAGGGACGTATGTGTGCGAACAAATTTCTACATTTTCCTCCATAAAAGAGATCTAAACTAACTTAAGGGACCAGTTCTGATAGAAAGATCAAGTATTATACTCAGTGGGCAAGAGTCTGCCTAGAAGTGGAGCCGCTAGTTAGGCGCCTGTGTCCTAATCTCAAGTACTTGGATTTGATCCCTGACTCCAGCTCGGGATTCCAGCTTCCTGTCAATGTAGACACTGGGAGGTAGCACTGACAGCTGAGGTACTTGGGTTTTTGCCACCCATGTGTGGTTCCTGGAGTGAGTTTCTGGCTCCTGGCCTGGCCCTAGCTGTTGGCAGGCACTTGGGGAGTGAACCAGCAAATTAGAGTGTTGTCTCTGCCTCAACTAACAGCTAAGTAAAACAAAACTAGACTCAACCATGCGAAAGAGGACTGTAAGCAATCCAGATGGTATTTCTGTTTCCTTTCTCATTATTTTAGACAGGAAATGAAGAGGCCATAATGTTCTCTTGTTATTTACTCACGTATGTTTCCTTCTTAAAAGGGTTAAAGAGGCTACATGGTCCAGAGCTTTGGGGCACTGCTGAGACCAGACCATTATCGTCCTCATCTGGCCTGTATTGGGAGCCCCACTGGAAGGGCAATGAGGGATGCTCAGAGTCAGCATGACATTGGTACCAAGTTTGACATCAATACGCTGGTCTTACCTCTGAGGCAATAAAATCTAATTTGTATAACCAAAGCTCCTGTAGAAATGAAATATACTTTCTGACTTCTAGTGGAACTTCTTGATATTTATATGCCACAGCCTGTTGGTAAAAATACAAACACTTCAGATGTACAGTGAGTCTCACGTTAAGGTGGATAGTACCCTGTAACTGGCCTGTGTGTGGCCTTTGGCAGTCCGAGGACTCATCTGGTGCTTCTAGAATCCACAGAAACCTAAATTGGAGAAATTACAGACCCAGCATTCCAGGGTGACTGGTCAGCCCAGAAAGCACCTGACATATCACCTTCTTTCTTGGATGAGAACACTTCATCCCTGCCTCCCGTGGTGTTCCAATAGGAACAAAATGACAGGAACTGCCTTAGTCACTTCCAAACTGGACTATGACATCTTGGAAAATGAAGCTCCTACACCACCCCCAAGTCTTCTCTACATAA